GGCTTCTGTTTGCAATTTGTAAAGCATATTCGTTAGAACAACACAACTACAACGCAATTTTCTTTTAGTAGGCTATGATTATCTTTTCATTGTTATGGCCACATCAGCGTCATGTTTAAATAGGTTTGTAAAACGTATCCTTCACAATTACCTTGTCATTGAGTGGTACAATTGTTTTACGCACAGTTCTGGTGACATAAACACCAATGTATTAGGAGATAGGCTAGATAGATAGCCTTACATCGGATCCCTCGGTGATTCCCTTTCCTTCTGAAGCGTGTCCTGGCTTCCCCCGCTCGGAGCTCAGACACCGACCGTGCGTGAGCGCTCTGGCGGAGGCAGGAAGAGCCGACTCCGGAGCAGAGGAGAGCGGAGAGGGGCATGTTCTGTGGAGATGTAAACTACACTGGAGCTTTCACGGCTCTCTGCAAAACCTGCACTGGATTAGAACGGGGGACCAGGCGCAAACAACCGTGCAGGGGCTAGTGAATATTTTAGAGCAATTCACTGTGAAGTGTCCAGGAGGCAGAAGCGCTAACGCACATTCATGTTCAACATAGCAGGATTGTAAAAATGATCAGGTGGCGTAGAATATATGTTGTATTTGGATGCTTTTTCTTTATTCCATGTTATATTAGGCAGCTAAAAGTGTGGTGTGCAGTTTTACACATGACCTATTAGGAAATGTTTTGACTAATGAAAAGTATGATTGGAAAAACTCAAATTATTTCATCAAATTATGAAAATAAGGTTCACAGTGTAACCTTGGCAATCTGCATGCTGCTTTCCCTCGAATGTTCTGCAGTGTATCATTAAACATAGACATCTATCTATCTATAAGCAGACAAGCAGTTGATGCCAGATCAAGTTACAAGTCTGATGTGTAGGAAAGGACCCCACTCACAGTAACGGACTCATTCCACACCGTGCAGCTCTGCTCCCCTGCACTATGGCGTCCGCAGCAATTACGCTCCCGATGAAAGCATGAAGCAAATAAACTGTAATTGAATAAATGTCCATAATAAATTGCCACTGTGAAATACATTCAAGGCAAAGCAATATACTCAACGAAGAAGCCATTTTAGACAACCACCAGAAAAGTGACATAGTGCACCTTTAACCTACCCTTGATGATGTGGTGGCTGGTATTACTGAAGTGAGAGAAGAAAAGTTATAGATGTTCCTCATGCTCCACTAGGCCTACACTGTGCAACTTCCATTCAACAATATTTGGAATACAGTTACTCTTTTTGCAGTATTAATTCATATAAATACATTTACCACAGAAGGGTTGTGATCTGAGCTAATCAGAAGAAAATAATGAGCTGATGGGTGAGTGCTCTTTTCCCACCTCTGTACTATCTCTGTCTCTGTCTCTCTCTGTCTCATTCTCTTTTACTGTCTTCCCCCTTTCCATATGTGTGGTTAGTACACTGGGGCTTGGCGCCAAAGTGGGCATCTGGTTTGTGGTCTATCACCGGGCAGAGGACAGACGAAACAGACACATAAATAGGCTCTGCATTGTTTTCTCTAATATTGCATTGGCTATTGGAATAATAATCTCATTGTTAGGAATAGTGTGACTAGTGATCATCTGGTACAGATTTTTAACAAGTAAGCTACAGAAAAATAAGTTTGAACAAGATATCCACCAATCAGTCAAAAACCCTATGGATTCCTTTGACAAATGTGCAGTTGCTGTGTTGCTCAATCATCAACAAATCTCAGCGCACCTATGCATTGGTGTTTTTTTGGGTCACCTATCAATTCATCCTATAAATATTTTCTGATGTGAGGAACTCTCAAACAAAATTGCACTACAAGCTGGAATGACCTGTTACTATTTCTCTGACCCATTATTATTATAATGTGGTCAATATGAAACATCATATTGCTCATATAATTGTGTTTCATTCCACGCTAACTTTGAGAACAAACTGTTGACATTCAGTCTTAATGTTGGTTCTGACTGACTTAGTATATTTCAAACAAGTGCAGGTAGGAATTCATGTTTCTTTGAACATTCACCATTTTAACAGTAGGCTTGTAGATGGCATTCTGTCTTCTTTATAACTAAAAAGACTTAGATTTTGACAAACGTTATTGATCCACAAGGGAAATTGCTTGGACATAGTAGCTCACACATCTCAGAATATTATAATAACAAAGAGTAAAAATATATTTAAATAGTAATAATACATTCAAAATAAATAGCAAAAGTTAGAAAAAGTTCTCTAGCTAGAAAGTAGTGTCAAATAAGGCATAATTATATAAAATGTATAACCCATGTACAAGTAAACAAGAACAATGATCTAATTAACTATTAGGTCTACTATTGCCACATTTTTTCTAAACCACAGTTTTTGGGCATATCTAATGGACATTTAAACTTGCAGTGTGACATACTGACCACTAGAGAGCAGACGGTTCCACCAGATAAATAGCCTAATTGTAGTAGCCTGTCAAATTAGTAGTCAAATTATCCGCAACCAAGGACTATATGCAAAAAATCATATCGAGCAATCTGGACACAAAAGTATATGCAATAAATAAATAAAAAATGGTAGGCTAGGCTATCTACTGCATCTATCTCAGTCGCCACCCCATGCCACAAGTTAATATGTGACCACGTGTAAAATATTATGGCTTCCCTTTCACTTTAGGTTTAAACTTTGACCCTGTAGAGTCCCTGAAGGGAAGGAGGAGGTGTGTGCGTGTCTTTTGGTTTAGTCCCGGGCCCGTCTCCCATGGCAACCTCATTTTACGTGACAGGAGCGCAACCTGAGCCGCCCGTCAGGTAAAGCAGGACAGGTAACCAAACCTCGAGCCATCCAGACACACAGCGACAGGTGTGTGCGAGCCGAGACAGACAAAAGAGGCCGGGACATGGGGAAATAAAAGATCATAAAAAGGAGGATATTGGAGGAACTTGAATCATAAAATAAACACAAACTTACACGAGGACAAGGCGACACCGTCCGAGACAATGGAGAGTGATGAAGAGGATGGCGCGTTCACCAACATCTCTCTGACAGACGATACAGGTAAAGAGGTCACCTCTGCTACAACTTGGCCTTAGTTCAAAACTTCAATGAAAAAGAAAACCAATCCAAGACTCATAGCCTATTATTTAGTGTATAACCTAGACTAATAAGAGACTGATCGCTTTAGGCCTATACAGTATGTTTTAGATAGGTCTATAAATGTAGGCGACTAGGCTACTAGCCAAGTAGTCCTAACTATAGATATATCCGGCATTACAATTCTTTTACATAGTTATTTTGTGTATTACATTATATCTAAGCAAGATAATGTTGATATATAATAATCATGCAACATAGGTCTAGCCCTGTTTAAGTACAGGCCATGCACAACTGAAGTGACTAATTTAACTAAGGAAATAATTGTCTGAACACTCATGTGAGAGTGATAATTTCACAAACCTGAGGTGTGGCCTCAGACTCGTAAAATGGTCTTTAAAAGGAACATGTTCAACATTTAGATCTCTTTTTTTCCCATTCACTATTTTTAAAATATTTATATTTTTAAAGTTTAATACTGTGAAACATTCCAGGCAAAGCAATAACATCTCCACTGCTCCACAAGCAAGTAGGGTGATCCGCTGTCCCTCTTTTGGTTGTCCTGTATACCCATTTACACCCCTGTCCCTTGTTACATCCTATTTAGAGAACTTTTTCACTCCTACAAAAAGATTTAGCCTATTATGTAATAATATTTTTCCCACAGATAAATCACGATTTTTGAGTGTACTGGCATTCAGGGTTGTAATATATTGGCAGCTATTGGCATTCCAATATGTTATATGAAAAATAGAATTTGATATTATTGAAGTCCAAAGCATTCAACATAGGTCCAACCCTATGTACTAGTCCATTACAAATAATTAGAATATCATGGAAAAAGGTCAATATTTTTCTTAGTTTCGTGTCATAAAATCAAACCCAAGAGCCATGAGACATAGAGTGAAATGTTTCTTTATTTCTTGAATTTTTATGATTTTGGCTTACAGATAATGAAAAACCAAAATTCCGTGTCTCAGAAAATTTGAATATTAGATAAGATAAAACAAAAGATATGCAAAATGTATTTTCATCTGAAAAGAAGACTTTGGACCACTGAGCAACAGTCCTTTATTGACAGTCTCCTTGCGGAGATTGTCAATGAAGTCTTCTGGACAACTGCTGTTACAGTACATAGAGAACCTGATGTCTGCGTCCAGTGTCTTCCAAACTACCGACTCAAAGAGCAAAAGGAAGTGAGTCCCCATATAGGAAATACACTGGAACCTTGAATGGAGCAGTGGAAAATAACCAGAACAGCACAGACATAGGGTTGGCTTCTTAAAAGGCCTTGAGTCAAAACAATGAGATTAAAACAATGCCCCCTTGTTTTACTGAAACATTTGGCATTCAACTGCGTTTCAGTGGACCTATCAATAAGGATGAAAAATAAAAATGTTTTTACAAGTATTATCAGACAAATGCCAATGATTTGCCTGATGAAGGCCTAGTGCCGAAATGTTGTTGATGTCCTAATAAAAGTCACAATTTGCAAGTAGAACAATGTGTAGGATTCTTCTCTGTTCATAGGCTGCTCCCTCTACAACACACTCGTTTCAAGAAGCTGATGTGTGACGTTCTAGTTCTTTTATAAGAAATAAATTCTTGTAATATTTCACTCTATGTGTTATGACTGTATATAATATATGGGTTTGACTTTCTTAAATGAGTGACAACAATATTGAACTTTTTCCTGATATTCTAATTATTTGTGATGGACTAGGAATTTCACATGGTCCCCCTACAAGCAAGTGACCACCAGAAAAGTTACACAGTGCACCCTTAACTACCATAAGTAGTAAGCCTAGTAGTAAGTAAGTAGTAAGTAAGTAAGTAAGTATATCAATGTGAAAAACGATTTGGCTGTATCCCTTTCCAACAGCAGCTTCATTGTTTATGACTCTACAGCTCCCCCTCTGGGCTGAAGTCTTCACTACAGTTCATTGGTGATGACGGTGTGGATGTAGCTTACAGTCTAGTCTCCATCATCAGCTGTATTTCGGACACTTTCACGCATTTTGCCGCATTATTATACTCCAGTATACGGAGATAGTCCTTCATTGGCGTGGTGAGTAGCAGTGGTTTTGCCGTACTTTGTCGTTCACGTGTAAATGGTTTGTTGTCGTGGCAAAGTTGGAAGCTGAGGTTAGCAATAAGCGCTAGCTGCTGCAACACCCATTTTAACACCAAAATCACTATCTTCGTATCCTCACAAGAATATATATTTTGCATGGTAACATTTGTTTGCAATGACAAGTGCGTTTTAAATCATCACTTTTGGTCTAGATGTACACAGCTAACTAGGTATTTTTCCAAGGCAGTTCTCGCTACATTGGCTAATGTTTACAGGCTAATAATCGGATACGATTAGTTAGCTGTGTGGGTGAGTACTTTGACAGTTTTAAACCCACCTTTATTTGTGCTTTTTCACATTCAAGCTCATGTTAAACATCATAACAAATGTGCATTCTGTCCGTTAATGTAGAGATGCTATCTGCTAAAGTCACACAAATATTTTCTATTGATCTGAAGTGTACTGATGGACTGATGTACCAGGCCCTTCTAGTGCACCATTGCTTTAGAGCTGTGGGGTGGGGTGTCCAGTCTGTGTAATTGACACAACTGTATAAACAAATATAATCTCTTGTCTGGGCGCAAGAACACGTCGTCATGCGATCTCTTATAAATAAAATAAATCATTTATTTAAGAGAGTTATAGAGTTGTCTTTATCAGTAAACAGACTCACGTCAGACATTCAAATCATTTACATCAAGCTAAATTTACCAAAAATCTAAATGTAGTTACCTCTTTATAGTTGTAGTTTTTTTTTTTTTTGGTTCATCTTGTTGCCTATGGGAGTCCATCATATTCTCCTCTTCTACTGGGAAACATTGCACTGTAATACCTGTATTGGACATTGGGCAGTGTCTAAATGTTGGCATTTGTAAAACCAATTTTTCCTTCTCTTTCAGTGGACAGTGGACCTGCAGCCCTGTATACTAAACCAGAGACCGAGCTCTTCATCATGAATTGTGACATAGACGGTATGTTTGATTAATTAACACTGTCTGATGGAGAGGAGTTCAAATATTGCATATACTCACTTACATAAATCTGTGTTTCAGGACATCTGGAAAACCAGGCAGAAATGGAGGAGAAGACCAGGTTAATAAATCAAGTTTTGGAGCTGCAACATACACTGGAGGGTATGTTACCTCAGCTCATGAAAATATCTTATGGATTACAAGAATACCTGAAAACTACTTGTCTAATATGTTATTTACAATATATCAACTACTGCTGTCTATGAACAAACATGTAATTCTTAATTTATAGTGGGAAAAAGTATTTAATATCCTAGCTAATGATAGATGATATTTGCATTTATCTGGCTTAGCTGGAGATTTTGGACTCTTAAATGGCACACATCTAACACCATTTCTTTTTATCTTGGTTGCAGATTTGTCTGCGCGGGTGGATGCAGTGAAGGAGGAAAACTTGAAGCTGAAGTCAGAAAACCAAGTGCTGGGACAGTACATTGAGAACCTGATGTCTGCATCCAGTGTCTTCCAAACTACTGACACGAAGAGCAAAAGGAAGTGAGTTCCATATAGGAAATACACTGGCACCTCGGATGGAGCAGTGGAAAATAACCAGAACAACGTAGACGAAGGGCTGGCTTCTTAACAGGCCTCAAGTCAAAACAAAGAGATGAAAACAATGCCCCCTTGTTACACTGAAAATTTCGCATTCAACTGTGTTTCAGTGGACCTATCATTAGGGATGAACAATAAAAATGCTTTCCCAGCAAGTATTATGGTTTAATTTTTGTTTCAAAATTATGATGTAGTTAACAAGTAAAGCATCGCTGACATTTGAGAGAGGATTGAAATATGCAATGCTAAACTATTAGAAACTATTAGTTGCATTTTGGAACATGTTTTTAGAGGTCTAAATTACAGGATTAGTAGATTTTATACAAATAAGTTAGAATATTCAGTTGCTTGCTGAGGATTCCATTTTAATTAAGATGATCTATTCAAATTATTATTTAGATTCAACATTGTATTAAACTGGAATGGCTTTGGCTTTGACTGGTTGAATAAATATAGTAGAATCCTTGTTACTAACAGAAAACACTGTGAATATTTCTAATGAAAATACTATATAATCTATATTGAACGATTGGCTCCTGACGATAAATAACAATCACCACAACTTACCATCTGTTTGGACTTGACCTGTCAAGAAGTAGCTTCCTCCTCCTAACTTTGTACATCTCCTGTGTAACCCTTTTGAACTGAATCAGATCTGACCTTAACAAGTCTATTAGGTTGCATAGGTTCTCCGTAATACTTAATTCCGTCTCAATGTTTTACTACCGGGTCTTTAATGAACTTTGTGACAGTTAAATTTTAATGTGGTTTTACAAGTGCATTTGCCTCCTGGAACATAGTGAGCTAAAACAAACTGTCTGAACACTACTTTTGTTATTTATTATTTCTGTATAGTATTATTGTTCATTCATCTCTACACATAGTGTATATATAAAATAACACGTGTATTCAATCCCTTTGTCAAACAAGTCAGTATTACTAAAAAAGATGCAAGATTTGTGCATGTACTTTTTATTGTTTTTTCATTTTTAAATGAGATTACATATGAACTGCTACCATTTAGCTTGTCCAATCACTGTAACTCATCTGCCTTCAAGGGAGCAGTGATTTTCTTATTAATGTGGCATATGTTTAACATCAGATGCCTTTCCTAACAACCTTCTACATTTGCTTCGGACTGACGCAAAAGTTCAATAGCTTGTCATCTCTTTATTCTTTTAGTCTCTATGTAATCAAACATACATTGAAATATTAAATAGAAATTCAACAAAAAGCACACATTATTTTTGGACTCCACTGAAATGTTGAAATGTAAGTTGTGTAATGTTGGATGATCATTTTCATACTGTTGGATCCAGAAATTGTGTACATTACGTAAATTAAAAATGCAAAGCTTTTCCATTGGAGGGGCAGCCCGCTTCTCTTCATTTAGATGTAATTACTTTGCATATTCCACAGTATGACATTAAACTCAATCTCCATAGAGAAAATTGAGTTTTGCCATTAGACCAATGTACAGGTCAGATTTGTAGAGATGTGACGCTGCTCAGAGTTGGAATGCATGTTTTTCAAAGCATTGAGTTATAAAAACACCTAGTTTAATGCCATACTGTGAAATATTCTAGGCAAAGATATAACATCGCAAGTGGTTGATGGCCGTCTATCAGAAAAGTTATATAGTAGACCTTTCCAATCCAAGTGAAGTAAACTTTCAAGGTCTCTATGGTATTTTGGATCACTTTGGATCACTTTAATCATTGTCATCACATACTAATGCCTAAAATACAGACCAAATGGCAAGCAGGATTGAGACTAGGAAACGGAAAAAGAACAGTGAACCAAGGCTGTTAGAAGGCCTTGAGTGCTATTGATCCACTTAGGATGTCCCGATAGAGAATGGGTCTCATAAAATGTGCTGATGCTTCACTGTCTGTTGGGTGTGGTCTCTTCTCCATCTAACTAAAAGAGAAAGGAAATCAGGAATCTAAAAATATATTTGAGGTGATATTAATGCTATGTGCTAAGGAGAATATGGTGCTTTAAAAGGTGGAATGAGTTAAACCTTACTGTATATTGTGTAATTTATTTTTGTTTTGATATTTTTAAGAGTTGTACAGCAGTAACCCATTATTGATTTGTGGATGGCATGCGGAATATGCCCAAACCTACACATGCTGTCATAGTGTGTAGACTCTGCACCTTTATTTTAATAAAAGCCCAATAACCCAATTTGTTTTTATTGTAATTTTTTCAATGCTGGAACCATATTTTTGATATTAGTGTTTATCCAATCTGTCATATTTGTTCCTTTAGTTGTTTTGACAGTATAAAGTGGCAGACTATTATTTTGCTTTTGTGCATTTACTTTTTTTTTCCTATGAAAAACAAGTTGCTGTTAACAATGAAGAATTCAAAAATAATTTTGATATCAATAAACAGGAAGCTTAAACCCAAGTGCTATTTAATCTTAATATTTAGACAGAACTAACATACAGTATTTTGTATTAAATAATTTTATTTTTCAGAGCAATGTACAATTTTGCAAACAAATGTTAACAGGAACATTCGCCAAGTCCTGGCCAAAATATCAACTATAAAAGCTTCAAATAATAATAATAATGATAATAAAAATTGTTTAGCGTCAACATTTTCCCAGTCAACAATCTCGGATCAAAAATCCAGCTACAGAAGAGGACTGGGAGTACATTGGTGTGTATTGACAAACAGACATATCTTCAAACCAGGTAGAGGCAATTCTATTTCATATAGGCCAAAGCGCTCTTCTTTTCTATAAAATACATCCTGGGTTTCAAGTATGTCTTCATTTGAAGTCTGCATGAAATCATTCATAATAATGTGTTTGTATACTACAGGCATCAAACTAAATAAATAAGTATGATCATCAGTCCCAATCCAGCTATAACTTAAAATTAGACAAAATAGTGGCTCTTCTTACAGACTAAGCTAATAAAAACATAAATGATAAAAGAGGTAATTCTTAAAACATATAAGCTGAAGCATCTTTTCAGCACAAATGCCTCAAAAATCAACAGGATTTTTTCCTCACAACCTAGCTACCTCTTTTCCCAAGGCTTATAATAAAATATTTAAAAACATTGGAACTTGACGGAAGATGAATGTGTCCTTAACTTGATGAAACTGACAGGACACAACAATATAGTTCATAACATGGTAGTCTCCCCTACAATATGGAGTTATAACGAATTCTAGAGTCCATAACTGTCACACATAAAAGAAAAAAATATGTATAATCACTAGTAATCAACAGTCAAGTCCAGTCCTGTCCGAACACCAGAAGAATGGTGTCCGTATTTCGTCAAAAATACAATGCTTCCCCTTCACAGAATGCAGGATCTTTTTTGGGGTGCAGTACGACAACAGTTCATCGATCCAATTAGTCCAGCTAGGAGAAGAGGACTAAAAATACAGCATGAAATATTCCCCTGCAGGTGTTAATTTAAGTGATGCAAAAATCCAAACCCTGGAAAGTCCACACACATCAGATGTTATCCTGATCACATAGTTCATGTAGAATTACAATTTAACACAATGCCAAAGCATGTGAACAAGACTTCCAATGGACATGTTACATCTTTGACACTGGTCTGAAATACCATTTCCTAATGTGCTTAGTCTGTGCAAACCAAGGGTTTGCCTGTGATGTCTCCCCTTAAATGTACAAAATGTTGACTTTAAATTAATATATCATGTTACCTTTTACCAATGCTGTTCTTTTATGTTGATCCAAAGCTAATTTTGGAACTGTGATGTAAATGTTTAAATTCAAATTAAAATGAAAATATTATAAATTATTACATATTAAGAAATCATTAAGAAAAAGATGACAAAACACACATATCCATTTAAGGTCAACATTTCATTGTTGAAGTCTTGATTGGGGGTCCATGTCTAGACCTGGGTTAGTCCTGGTTTATTCTTGGTGTAGGTTGGATATAGATGGAAAATTAAAGCTAAATGTATCATGAATTGTCCCTTTGTGTAAATATTTTGACAATCGTTAAATTTATTGTTTAGTAGACCTAAAAGTAAGTATGAATTGGATGATGTGTTGCTTTGTATTACGGGAAAGAGGAAAGAGAGACAATTGGGCAGGCTTCCAGGTATTTTGGAGGAGTTCCGTGCTGCTCTGCTCTGAGAGTGGAAGGGCAACAGCAGAGATGCTCCTCCTCGGATGGGACATTAGGGGGCAGTAGTGATCCCCTGGTTCTCCTGATCAGTCTTTACGAACCCTCCTCTTTCTCACAGACTGTTTTTGACCATCCTCTGCACCACCGCCTTCACCTTTAGACTGGAAAATTAAAATAAAAATGTGATAATTCTCCATTGAAAACACAGCTGAAAGCATTTTTAAAATGACACTGTCAAAATTGCTTGCTTGTTTTTATATAGTATATACTTCTCGTAAGATGAGCTAATCACAGGGTAAAAGTAAGTAGTAGTAATATAACACACCAAGACCAAAAGTAGCTGACTATACAATTACCACAAGGACAAAGTTTGTTTGCTATAAGTATGAGCTATGAGCTATTTTTATGAGTATCCAAATAAGACTAAGAGTATCGTATCGTACATATCGTATGGTAAAACATTACAATGGAATTGAAGAAATGCAAATTTTTCTCCAAAATTTCCAGACCATCCTTTAGTTGAATATTATCATATTCCAAATATCTTTTTTTTTTTTTTTAATTGGCTTCGATAAAACATAGAATTTGATGAAGATCAACATATGGGTCCAAGTTTTATTAGTAAATGTATGGCTCACTGGTTTATCTATTACTCACCTTTGTCAGAATTCATATCATGTCTAATAACTTTAGCACTGACCAGGTCATCTGTTGTTCTATCTGGAGCTTTGGTTTCCTCCTCTCCCTCTTCTTCCTCTTCATCATCTCCTGAAAGACCGTTCACTTCCTCCTCTTCCTCCTCCTCTTCTTCTACGACTGGAGAAGACAAGGAAGGATTTAAGGATTGAAGGAGTGAAAAATATAGAACCTAGTCTTGCTTTAGATACATATCATAGTAGATGGCTATAAGGTCAAATCATTATACAAGTTTTTTTTTTTTTGCAATCATATTATTATAACTGTATTATTTTCAGTTGTTAATTTCTAGACCAGTATTGTCAAACTTTAGATAGAGAAGATAAGCCACTTTATTCATACTACACAACAATATATTTTTGATTTATCAAAGAGTTATTAATTGTTTAAGCTCGTACTTTCACCCTGTGTCGCGTCTCCGTTCTCTGGTCCTTGTTCTTCACCGAGCACTGCTTCGTCCTCCTCTTCCTCCTCCTCTTCCTCCTCTACATCCTCATTAGGAACGTCCACCTTCTTATAAACATACTCATCTTCTGTTTTCTGGGACAAATAAAACAAAACAAAAAATAAAAATTTGCTTATTATGTTAATTATTATGTGAACACTAGCACTATATTATATTATAAGGTAGAAGGTAGAATGTAGTTTTCTGAGTACCTTTGGCCAACAGAAGAGCACAACCAGCCCCACAGGAAGCCCCACAGTAAGAATATAGATGACCCAGAGCCAAGGACGCTCCTCTGCAGCCAACATCAGCTGAGCAACGATTCCAGGCTGGAACAAACAAAATGCTAGTAAGAAATAAAAAAAGGACTGTTGGACATTGGAAAAACATGATGGGATTATAATGAGTAAATATATGGACTGTGTTCAGTTACATAGGGACCAGGTTCGAACTGACGTCTACACAAATCCAAAATAGGCTTACATGGGACCAAAATGGTTAATCAAAACAATGGCAATGTCACCAGCAATGCCTTAGATTATATAGTGCCTTTCAAGATCCCTAAAGCTACTTCTGACTATGAACTAAACCAGTTACAGTAAAAACTAAACAAAAAAGGGGCAAGTGGGAACTAGATGCAGATTTTTCAGTTATAAAGCCAAAAATCTGATCATGTACAAACTCAGCATCCACGTCTATGTACATTCTCAAGAATCAATGCAATATAATAAAACAACAAAATAACTATAACTAAAACTAAATTCAAATTGGTTGTCATAACACATTTAAAAGATTCTCTCATCTCACTTCATTCGCGCTGGCCACGAGTTTCTTGAGCCCCCAGCTGTCGGACGCCCAGCGGTCAGCCACCTCTTTGTGAGATGTGATGATGAAGTTGTCAAAGTAAATGTCCGACGTCATGGACCATAGCTCCAGACCGATGGCGCTGAACGGGCGCATCCTGAAGGGGTGCAGGTCCTCGAAAAACTCTGGGTTCTGGATTTTACGTGGCTTCCACACCCCCTACAGGCAGGAGAAGAGAAACCATTGTCAACAGCAGATAGTATAATCTAACTCAAGTCCTCATGAATCTATTCAACTGTAAGCTTTTAAATACATAGTTTTGTTGCAGTAGAACCCTAAAAAGATGAAGGAACCATATAGTGGAGAAATCTCAATGTTTGAAGAGGGTGACACCACCAGGCCAAGTTACCCACTCACAATAGGAAATCATATTTCTCAAAGGACTTTCGAACTATAAAAACACTTGCAACTGCCAAGATAGGTGAGTTTAATGCCATAATGCAGAACAGGCAAAGGAATAATATATCCACAAAGACATCACCATCAGAAAAGTTACTCAGTGCACCTTTCAATATGTATCACTAAGCCTGAGAAAGCATGTAGCAGTGGCTCACAGTGGTTACCTGATAATTGGGGTTGTCCACTAGAGGAGCCTTCCACTTGCCCTTGTATTTGGGGTTGTTGATCATGGGGCGTTTCCACTTCCCACAGCCGGGGGCAGTCTCACATGCTGGGTTTGGGATCTGAGGGGCCTCCCATTCACCATCCATCTCCTCATCCCTAAAGAAGTATTAAGTCAATAAATGTCATCATACATTTGTCTTCTGTACAGAATGAAAAGGAGTAGAAAAGTACCAGTCCTCTGGTTTCTCTGCACTGGGATCAGGGACAAATTCAGGTTCATCGTCGAGCCATCCCTCTGGTTTCAGGGCATCAGGGTCTTCAATCTTTGCAGGTGCTTCCTCGTCCCTGCAACAAGCAACACATATTAATATGTGATTGACAAGAATGACTACAACTTCAAAATATAGAATATTTTGTTTTAAATTGTTAAATGCTATGGTCAATAATTGTTCTTGCTACAGGGGACTCACTTATGCTATTAAAACACTTTTCAGCTGTGTGGCACTGGTATTATCATAAGAGAGGGATAACCCTTAACTTTTATTAGTTGTATGGCTATTTTGTCTACATTTTGTTACAGTCGGTTGCTCTCACCAGTCTTCTGGCTTGACTGCCTCTGGGTCAGGGATCTTGGCCCTCTCGTCCCAGTCCTCGGGTTTGGAGTCCTTCGGGTCGTCGATCTCACGTGGTGGGTTAACCGGAGGAACCACATCGTGAAGGAGGTTCCCACGGCTCACACTGGACTGGTCAATGAACATCTCATAGCTGTTATCTGGGTTTAGGACTGGCAGAAAAAACAGATAGAAAATAACCAAGACATGACAAAAATATAGGAGGGAGTCTGAAAGTTCCACACAAGAAACAAAATAATAATAATAATAGAAATGTCATTAAGAAACTAGAAAAAATGTATTAAGTGTATTTTGGTGGGGCAGTGTCAAGTCTAAACACCAAAATATGTCTTTATAATATTACTTAAAATTAATGCTGGAAATCACAGGGTTCCTCACAATTTGTTACAATACACAACTAATATCCTGATTTTGCCATGCATGCGTTAATGGATATGGCATGATATTCTGCAATATATCACTATTTCTTTAAAAAATCAAATACATTGCAATACAAAATTCAATACATTGATACATTACTACCAAATTTAGTATGACAATATATCAAAAGTACTACAGCTGTATCCAGTTTAATTATGAGTTAGACTGATGATTTTACCCAGTGTGTACAGATGCGTTTTCTTGTCAGTGTAAAACTTCTTGAGGTCGACGTCTGCTCTCTTAGCATGTTTCTCTTCAATGTCTTTGTTCAGAGGGTTTTCGTGTCTGAAGATAAAGTGAAGTTTGTAATCCTCTCCACACTTGTCCGGCCCAAACATGATGGTGTAAGGGGTGCGGTCGTGAAACTGCTCCTGTGAGGCAGAAGGAGGTTAATAAACACAATTATATACCAGCATTTTATCTTTAATTTTTAAGATGATTTAAAATAGACTGAACACTAACCAGATTTAGATCCCCTTCGTCTGACAGTAGTTTGATGTATGCACCGCCACAGTCAATACCATCTTGGAAATTGACTTCATATCTAAATGTAACATTTTTATAAAAATTAAACCAATGTATAAAATAGAATTTGTCAATATTTGTCAATTCCAAAATTATGAATAATACTGAAGACTTATTTATGTCACTAATTTCAATAAAACATGAGCTATGATAGTAGTTATTGTCTATTATGAATCACAAATATGTTAATTATTCAACCTGCTACAGTTCTAATGTAACAAACAGTAAAGCTACATTACATAACTTTTTAGTGGAGGGTCTACCATTTGCTCGTGCTCCTATAAATCTTGAGATTTCTTTTTTAATGCCAGGTGGGATCACCTTTTTGTCTCCTTGGAGAATGCTTAGTAGTTTAATATAATTACTGTGGAACATTCCAGGCAAAGCAATCTCCAAGGATACGAGCAAAAGACACCGGACAGTTGGTTACATACTGCACCCTTAAATAATAATTCCCCCAAAGTACAAATAAAAGGTACGTACTTGATGACAGACCTTTTCCAAGCACATGCATGTCTGTGTATAGTTCCATTCTCCTTGTACTTACTGGACCACCAGAGGGTCATCCTTGAACACAAAGGGTTTGTTGAGAAGAGCAGCAACGGCGTGATGTTTTGCTCTGGACTTCAGGACCAGACCTTTGTCTCCAGGAACCTTATTCTCCTTCAGAACCTCTACAGACCACTTCCCTACAGCAAGAAGATACAGTGTTTTCACAATTACAAACTCTAGGAACATTATTGTTGGAGTATACAATACTTAAACATACACTGTGTAACTTTTCCGATGGAGAGTCAGCAATGCTTGTCTCCATGGAGAGGTTATTATTTTATATACAAACCATCGTATTTTGCGATCTCATCGTCTGCGTCCCCTTTCACCGTCTTTGACAGCTGCCACCTGTGTCAACATTAGAGTTATTCAGAGGAAAGCACTCAAACATCAATCACACCTGAACATATTTCCTGTAGAGGTGATTTTAGCTGTGTTAACTTCAACCTAAATATAGAGTAAACATTAGATATTTCCTACAAATTACAATATAGAGGATTATTCATTACCAACTGCAGACTAATTAACAACAGCATTTCTAACCTGATTTAAATTTAACACTGCAGGTCAGCAATATGGTATGATATAACATCCAAGACACTACTGCAGTTACCTGTCCAGGGACCCATCATCAAATGTCTCTGTAAAGTAGACCTCACCGGTGGGCACAGGAGTCTTGTATATCACCTGGACAATATTGACAAAAATTTACATTTCTAAAATGTTTCATGATAAATATAACTGTTGGAATATTTTGGCAATTCAGCAGAGAAGAGGTAAACTCCTCTTAAAATGAATTAGTTGAGGTTTAAGCATGAGACAAATGTGAAAGGACACTTAAGTTCATAAAAATCACTTTATACCATGCTAAAAAAAAAAAAAAACTCTAAACAATATGCATAATATTAATATGTTCAAAACAACATTCACACTACTATAGATAACCTTATAATTGTGTTGCCTGGGATCCAGAATACACACTTCTTCAATACTTTACGCAGACTTGAGTTTGGTCACTAGTACATCTCTTTGTTTTCAAATGGCTGTGACTGGCAGCTGACTTAGACTTTCCTGAGAAAAACATTTCCTGTATGACCTTTGTGCTGACCTGGAAGGAGATATTAGCGTCTGCAGTTGCGGTGGCTGCCTTTTTGTTGGCCATGCTCGTTCTTTTGGCTATCGCTTCATCCTCAGACATCAGAACCCTCATTTCCTCTTCATCCAGACCCAGACTGTCCTCCACCTCCACATCGGCCTCCGAGTCCTCATTGGCCCATCCCAAAACCAGCAGCAGGGACAGGAGCAGAACAGTGCACAGCCACCCCTTCGCCAGCCTCATCCTAGGGACAAAGTCTGTTTGAGATGAAATGTGAAATGTAGGACTACACCATATGAACAAAAAATGTGATTGATAGATATGACACGATCATGTCATTTTTATAAGTGAAAACAGCAATGAAAAATAGTTATTTTGTGCACAATCTGGTATTATAATAGATTATCTTTGTTGGCAATTATAACAATCATACAAACAAATAATTCTTATATTTTTTAACTAAATAGCAATAGGTTTGTATATTGTCCCATCGTCCCTTCCAACTACAAAGCACCTTCTGTCCCATTTGTACAGTATATTGTAGAGATAATACTTAAATTTGATTCATTCATTGATAGTAATTTTTGTAATTAAGTAAAAAAAAAAGATCTATTTATAATATTGTACACTTCAAAGGCCCTGAAGTAGTAGTATACTTGGGGTTGTCAGCGGGTGTGGCACAGCGGGGTAGGGGAGAACGGAGCAGGTGTGACTGAGATAGAGTTTATTTTTAGAGACAAACCAGTGTGAGGGTGGACATGGGGGTTATGCAGTATTTTATAAATAGACAATAGAAATGTGAACATGGGGCTGAAATGATAAAGGCATTGTTTAAAGGGCACATATTATACTCATTTCTGGTCTGTTGTAATGTTGTTTCCTCTTCAAAAACATACCTGGAATCATGTTTTGTTTAATTCACACAAACACTGCATATTCAGGCTGAGTTTTTCTCTCAAACTGAAAACACTATGTTCTACTATGTGATGTCATAATAATACAAGAAGTGCTCTACTGTGTTTTTAAACTCCATACACCTTCAGAATCATTTGGAAAATTTCAGTCCTGGAATTCCCAATCTCTGTTGAACAAAAGGTAAAGGTAGCTATTAATTTCAAAACGACCACTTCATGCAGGGGCAGTCCTAGGCACGGGCAGACAGGGCGGCATTTCGTGGGGGGCGGCATGAGTGCTAGAAAAAAAAAGATTGTGATCGCACATTGCCCGTTCAGTGTGCACATGAAATTCTTTTGCCATCATAGTGTCAGTGAAGTAAAGCAGTTTCAATATTGTAATTTATCAAAAAAAAATTTCATGAGAACAAAATTTGTTTATATGACAAATCTGCGTATCTCTGGTAGAAATAACTGACACTCTGGGACGAATACGGGATTACACTAACACTATAATATAGCCATCAATAATAACCTAAATGGAAAAGTTGAAGTAAATGAAATTTGAGAGAATCCAAGTACTATAATGCTTTAATTTCAAACAAAACTGATTAGAGAAAATAGTTATACATTACTCTCTACATGTTTGAAAATATTTCTTATATTTCTTTAAATGTTCACTTTTTGATGATCATAAATCTCTATACACCAATAAAATCCAATAATATTCAATAAAGGTTTAGACTTAAAAAGTGTTACAAGCCAACACAGAAATTTAGCAGCATTTCACATGTTAAACCAAAGCATTGCTTACAACCCACAGTTAAATGTGAACATTGTCATCCTAACTTCTAAACAGAATGTGATCTGCTGAATTGCTGAGTGCCAATTCAAATCCAGTCTTATCTTATTGTGATGAATGGGACCACTGTAAATTCCTTATGGTAAATACTAAATAGTCCCACTTCACAACAAATGAATGTAGTCCCCAAGGCAACATCTGTTCACTGGTAGTTCCTCCAGACTCTGAGCTCCTCCTCCTACAGCCACAGAAGAAGACCACATGTAGGCTTATCTATTACCATGAACAACAGCCTAACCTCAATGAGCCCCTATTGATCACACACCTGCTCACACTCACAGCATAGGCACATGATTAATAGCATGACAGCAGCTAGCTTTCCTTAAAGATTCAAAATAATCTTCTTAGGTCTTTCTTAGGTAAGGATAATTCGAAAACACAGCAAAGAAGATTGTCTGTAAATATACAATAGGCAAGGTAGGCAAGTGAAAATGCTGATATGGCTTAGTAAGCAGTACAGGGATGAATCAAATACTAGTGGATTTGTGAAAAATACAAAATGAAATCAATCTTAACGACATGCAGAAATATTGTGCTAAAATATATGTTTATAGAGAATGATTATCACTAGTGTGATGCAATAAAACTGTCAGAAAATCACCATAAGACCTGGATCAATTTATCAATCAATTAGTGCTGCTGGAGTTAAACGCCTTAGCATTATTGTTATAGAACTGAATGCTTTTACAGACATAAGCATAACTGGTATGAATGTAGCATGCATTTCATACAAGATTAGATTCTTGACGAGTTACTATATCTTCCTTCTGATCAACGGGTCTCTTTCGAGCCCCTAAGTGGCATGAGTACGATTTTAATTTTACCAAAGAAACAAAACGTGACACCCACGTAAAACATACTACACCAGTGTTGTTCACACAATATAACCGTGAAATAAGTGCCACGGCTGCCTGCCTCACAACACTGCATCCCCGTGGTTCATCATGGGACGCTCCGGCTGCAGCACCTGCTCCGCGGCTAATGCTAGTTAACGTTAGCTGGATACGAACCATAAATACTATTTTATAGTAGAGTTTTGAACAACAGAATGACACACAACGAAACGAGCTATGATTAAAAAAATATATAAATCAAACACACACACACACACGCATAGTACAAGGAATATTTAAAATATCTTACCGCGCAAATATATACAAAAATGATTAGCTTCGTATTAGCCGTGATGTCGCACAGAGATGGAGAGAATGAATGAGCGCATACAAACCTTGCGTCTTATTATTTGCGGAGAAAATGCTTCTAATTCCACCGCTTCTCCGCAGTGTAAAAAGCATAGATCTGAACTAAAATACGTAATGAGGCTGAGCGGTGCAGCCGATGGGATGAGGAAGAGGCGCGGAGGAGAGACCGCACAGAAACAGCAGCACCGCAGATGACAGCAGCTCAGACCCTCCAATGGACCCTCGGCCTGATAACGGAGCGCGCGGACAGGATGAGAGTCACACTGCGCATGTGCAGACTGAGTAGTTGCGGTCGGGCAAAGGGGCATTTAAATGCAGTAAGGTGAAAGCAATTGCGAATCAACTAGCTCTCTAATAAAATATAATGCCATGCTTAATACCCTAAAAGCAATTTAATTATATCATGGATTTTTAAACCGCATACACTATTAGATACTAGCATCGCAGTTTCGATAGAACGATAGCATTACACATAGATTAAGCATATTGATTCTTTTGACTTTAGTGAATATATGTTTCGACTGACAAAAACATGCCTATTAAATGTAGTTTTAACTAAATAGATTTATATCTAAATGGATAAAGTAGGTTGTTCTATCTATTCCATCCATGCTTCATTCAGACTAAACAGCAACAACCCAAAAATACTTTAATGCAAAGTAATGCCAAAATAAAAGCCTAGGCCAAAACATTTAGTTCAACACTTTATATAACAATAGTGATTTGTTTATATACAGGTTATGTAAAATCAAAATGAATATAAAGGTTATCTAAAGAGAAAATAAACATTTTCTTTTAACCAATAGATCCATGCTTTAATCGCTCTGGATTTCAGTCACTTCCGTTTCCGGATGAGAGTTCACAAAATATTGATGGCGCTCACGTGTTTTTAAAGTATAAAGCTGGTCACCAGAGGTAACTGTTATAGTTACACCATACCGAACAAAAGCCATAATGAAAGATACACCGCTGTCAAACTGTGAGCGGGATTTTCTGCTTAAAGCCATCGAGGAGAAAAAGGTTTGCTCGGCTAGGTCTTCTTTTACCATTGTAGCTAATGTGATAAACCGTTTTCTATACTAATTGTGTATTACTACAATTGTGTACATTACAGCGACTGGACGGAAGGCAGACTTATGATTACAGAAATATAAAGATCACATTTGGGACAGACTATGGATGCTGCTTTGTGGATTTAGGGAAAACAAGGTATATTTTTTATTTATTAACATTATTCAATGATAGGTGCTTAATATGAAGATGTAATTGATAACAATTAGCAAATTTAATTGTTTTCATATTTATACCACTCACCATTATAGATTGACTATGCTAAACTCAAACTGCCTACTATATCTTTTGCACAGAGTAATGGCTCAGGTGTCTTGTGAGTTGGTGGCTCCAAAAGAAACTCGTCCAAATGAGGGAATATTGTTCTTCAACATAGAGTTGTCTCCAATGGCCTCACCTGCGTTTGAACCGGGCAGGTGAGCACACTACTTATTTAATCATTATTTTATTATGTTATTTGTTTTAGACAATAGGGCACTGGATGTGTTCATAACTGGTTGTTTATCTATATGTTTTTTTGTGGAAAGAGGAAAGAAAAATTTAATACAAATTAAAAAAACAACAACAAAAAAACGGTTTTATTTTTAATCATGATCACCCCGCCCTACTTCCTACTTGTATCAAACAGCTATCTGTTTGGTGAAAAAGTCAGAAATCTTATAAATTAGAAAAACCTTTACCTGTCTATATAGCATTTAGAATGGTCACATTAAAGTATGAAAAAATAGCTCTTGCCTTTAAAGAAAAGGATTTAATCAAGGATCACTTGTGGCATCATGGTCTTAATAGAGGCTGATGGGAAATACAATCCCACATGTATATTAGCTGTGCATATTGTTCTATAATGTTTTTGACACTTAATAAATGTGTTGTTTACATTCTGTGTGCCTGGACAGGCAGTCGGAGCTGTCAGTGAAGCTTAACCGACAGCTGGAGAGATGCTTCAGGAACTCCAAGTGCATTGACACAGAGTCCCTGTGTGTGGTGTCTGGGGAAAAGGTATGAATATTTAAATATCACAGAGAATATGCAGTATAATTATAAATTTGATTTTGTCTTATTAGTGAAATAGAGTAGGGTGAAACTAATTTGTGGAACTGTCTAATTGCAATTACAGTTACATTTGAAATGAACATCCAGGTTACAGTGCACATTTAAAAGACACCAATGTCCACATCTTGCAAGCAGAGGTAGACAGGTGTAATGCAGACAAGGTTTTAGGACATATGACCTGTTAATTAGCACACACACCAGCACCACAGGCAGGCACACTTATATAGCACACAATGGAAACATGTGACACAGACTAAAATCATATAGAGTGTAGAAATTAAGAAAAGAATTAAAGACAAAGTGGGTCTAATGTATGCTCTCTCCTTAATTACAAAAGATTGCCCAAGTTACTTCAATGTGTTTTTTTTTTTTAATGGTTCTGACCTAGATTAGAGTTTAGTTTTTTGCTAGATTATGTTCATGCATCTCAAAATAATCATTATATTTCACTGATATTTCAGTCAGTTATATATTCATTTGTATGTGTTTAGGTGTGGCAGATCCGAGTCGATGTGCACACTTTGAATCATGATGGAAACCTGATGGATGCAGCGAGTATCGCTGCTATCACTGCTCTGTGCCACTTCAAACGCCCCGATGTGTCTATCCAGGGAGAGGAGATCACTGTTGTGAGTGTACATGAAACACTGCAATAGCATGTTTCATTTCATTCATCAATACTATTAAATACTTAATTCAGTAGAATTTTATATTGGGAAATGACCCAACATAGAAATATTTGTATGGCTAAAAGGGTTTTCAAGTGACAACTTGGTGTTAAAATGCTAAGATGCTGCTAACTGCTACGACTCTTTGTTCCTGTCCTTTGGTTTTGACTGTGGACAGTTGCAATGGCAATTTCAAATCAAACCATTATATTTTTAATGGGCAGTCCTTCAAATCAGAAAGAAGTGATCTCACTGACATACATGAACATTAGAAAAAAATTAATTCATCTTAGAATCAATCACCTTGTGTATCAATAAAGTTATTTTGAACCTTGTGCTAGGTTTTGGTTAATGCAGACAAGCCAAGTAATTACAGAAGTATTAGCCATAAACCAGGTCAAAACATGAGCAATTGCAATATTACACTTTTACACTATAATAGTTTACACAATTATAGCTTTCTGATATTCATTGTGCTACATGTTTTATATATATATAGTAATTCTAACTTGTTTTCTCTCAGTACACTCCAGAAGAGAGAGATCCTATTCCACTGAGTATCTACCACATGCCCATAAGTGTCAGCTTCTCTTTCTTTCAACAAGGGTAAAATTCATCCATATTTTTCGACATGATTACATGAAGTTAAAGATTTGATATAGGGAGAGATGAGCCCCCTTACATTAGAAGGTATATCTTTCCCTAAATCTAACGTTTTTCTGTTGATGTGGATATTAAATTAACCAGTATTGATAATTTTGAGATGTATTGTGCAGCCCCAGTGGACAGCTGTTTGTCTCTATGTGGCAGGACGTATTTGCTAGTGGACCCATGTGAGCGAGAGGAGCGGGTGATGGATGGGCTCCTCATGATCGCCATGAACAAACACAGAGAGATCTGCTCCATTCAATCTAGTGGAGGCATCATGCTGCTCAAGGAACAGGTGACAAATAACATTTTACAATCTGAAAAATTTCTATTGAGCAGAAAAATGCGTGCGGTGACTTTTATGGGTAGGCAACCTGACTTGGGGTGGACATTAATGTTTAGCTGATAACATTTTAATAACACTACTTTTTATGCATACCACATTGCAAATGAGTATTTATTTTACTGACATTAAATGCATATGTACTGAGCCAGTAAATGGTATACAGACTCAAATTAAAGAGATCTAAACTTACATCATTTATTAATATTTGTATATTCGACTGTATTTGACACCCTCTTTGTACAAACAAGGCTATTTGTGGTCTGTTTGTTTCTTGACAGATTTGTCCTATTCCTACCTTATTTATCCATCTAAGCATTCAGTACTATTGTTCTGTCTGTAATTATTATTATGCATTTTTGACTGACATATGCTAGCTCTACACATTGTAATTCACTACACAAAATATACATTCATGAAGATCATGAAAAGATGCTAACAACAACAGTTTGCTGATCACACAGGTGCACTTATAATACAGCCCTATGTGTCACAAACGTCCCATCACGTTAGAACAGTGCATTATCACTCACCTTTCACTGATGCAAAACTACGTCTTTCCTGAGGAAGCGTCCTGTATTTCCCTGAAGCGTGTAATAGTGCTGTTATTCCACTGACGCTGTTGCTTCTTCATAAACATACAGACGAAGCAAAATCCTGGCTACAGCAGCCGCTCTCACTTCACTGCTCTGTCCGGATCTTCCATTTTACACACACTAGCTCTGAAACTAGCTCACTGTTTGATTAAAGGACGCCCTGTATTTCTAACTAACATCTAATTATTACAAACGCGAAACTACAACTATAACTCTCACTAAACACGGGTTGTTTTTAGAAACTTGTATTGAAAGTTAGTGCTGCTGTTGTCGTCTCCTGCAGCACACATGCACTCACGTGGAATCTCCGGTTCCCGTGAATGATGATATGGGTTTATTCAGTTCTGTTTGAGCCGGCTGTGGTCCTCAGTACGTATGCGCAAACCTCTAAAACAACCGGCTGGGTCTCCGGTTGTAAGATTGCATGTACATAACTCAACCATATATGAATGAAATAAAACACAACTACAGGTATGTTTTCATTTTAAACCATAGAAAGCATGGAAGTATAAACTGCGCTCTCAATATGTGCCTCCAGGCCTCTGTAGAAGGGAAAAACAACACAAGTTAATGTATGTTCAGAACTGCGGTTGTTGCAGTTTGCTCAGTGACCAGAAGAGTGTAGTCAAAGACACCATCACTACAACCATGTTTCAAACGGACAGAAGTGAAGGGAAAATTAGATTATTTGGATATAATTTGAAACTATTTATACTTTTGACACACCATAATTTTAGATTTTATTGGTCAACTACTGCTTGCCTTGATTGCCCTGTGCTTGCCTTGATTGATACTGTGTAACTTTATGCTGAAGGGTTTGCCATCTGCTTGCCTGACATTAAGTTTA